TTATCATTCCTTTGCTTTTTCTGGAAATAGTCTGATCATATATGATTATTATATATATATATATATATATATATATATATATATATATATATATATATATATATAATTTCCTAAACCATGTTTTCTTGTGGTGGTTTTTACAGTTTATAAAACAAACAAGAGTGACTGTATACAGTCTTTTGAGCCTTGCTTTTTCTACTCAGCATGTTACTAGCATTGCTTTATGTTGTGTGTGGCTGTGGTAGAACATTGGCTGTGTGGTGCCGCATTGGGAAAGTAGCCACAGTGTAGCCATTTCCCGGTGGTGGGCATTTGGGTTGTTTCCACGTTTGGTTTTCTTTTACAAACAGAGTTGCTCTGAACATTCTTGGATATATACTTAGGAGTGGACGTGCTGGTTATTAGGTATGCAAAGGTTCAGCTTCTGTAGATATGCCAAATTGTTTTCATATGTGGTTGTGCCAATTTATACTCACCCAGCAGTTTATGAGAAAGCCCATTAATCCGCATTCTTTCCCATTGTCAGAAATGTTTATCCTCACTGCTTTTCACTCTCTTTTTATCCTTTCCTCTCACCCTTGTCTTATTTGGAGACCACAGTGAGGCGCCATCAATGTGCCCAGTCAGACTAGTAGGCAAACACTTAAGGGTGTCATGACAAGCCAGCTCTTCTGAGCTTGCATAATAGCTCAGTGCAAACAGCAGATCAGTTCAGGTTCTGGGTCTAGGAGTAGCAGGGTAATACTGTACTAGACTAAATCTCCCATAGAAAAAAAAAGATGAACTCTGGGGAAAATATTTTTTTAAACTATTTAAAGGTACTAGAGAGTAACCAAAAAAGCAGATAGAAACTGGAGGGAATTCAGCCCTTGGAAAAGAAACCTCATTGGGTATTTTCTCACTTTCCCCAGAGGGCTCGCATGTGAAGGATGGGAGGACAGTTGAGTGAGGTCAAGGGGTTGCCAGAACTCAAGGCACAATCTGGCTGACATGAGGTGTCAAAAGACAGAGCTGTGGGCTGCCATAGGGACAAAAAATAGATGGAAAAAAAGAAACTTAATATCAAAAGATAGACCTGAACCTAAACATACCTACAAGTACATTAATTACAAAAGTTAAGTGAAAATTAACTAAATATAGTACAAAAGGCAAATAGTTCAGACTAAATGAAAAACCAAGACCCAACTATATGTTGCTTTCAAGAGACCAGATCTGGGCCGGCCGAGTGGC